ATGTAAAATGAAACTACCAAGAGTAGAACCTCTGAAGATCGGGTTCTCTCAAGAAAGAGCATTTTTTTAGACTAAAACCAAAAAATAGAGTTCTCTATAAAGCAGTTTTTAAGGTTTGAAAGGTTTTATTGGACATACTTTAATTGAGGCCATCATTTCAAAAAAGTTTTGTTGAATTAAGTTTGAGCTTAATCTAAAATTATGTAAGAAACGTTTTTGTTTTATAATTATTCTTTTTGTACTTCTTTTTTTTAAGGTGAAGAGGAAAAATAACAGCTTATTTAATGGCTATTAACTCACCTCTCACTTTTAAAACTCACTTGTCAAATAATGACTCACTACTTCGCTTTTTGACTCACTTTTATAAAAGTAACTCACTTAAAAAATAATTTACTATTTTAATGGTTTTTTAAATAATAAAATAAAATTTCTTCAAAATAATAAAATATAGTTTTTATTTAAATTGCTATATAAGTATCCACTCAATCAAAAACTTGACCATTTGGGCAAATTTGCCATTAATCAAAATAATTCATATCTGGATTGTGATGAAAAAACAAAAATAAATAATAAATAACATTTTGACTTACTTAAATTATTTTTGTTATTGAATTAAAGTTTTTATAAATGAAAAAAAATATAAACAAATCGATTAATCGATTTAAAAAAATACTCTTTGCGTTCAATAATTATATCGTTGTCAACACGAAAGATATCGCCATACAAATTCAACGAAGTGAATGTGTTGTTATACATTTGAATTTATTATATTACAATTTTAAAATTTGTATCATTTTTGTTTTGAACAGTCAATAAAAAATACAATAAATAATAAATGAGTTATTTAACCAAAGATATTTGAATTAAACGAACAATATTTTAAAGTAAAAACATTGAATAATATAAAACCAAAATGATAAAAATGTTTTTCGTCATCAAGAACAATTACATACGTTTGTCATAACCCAAACAACTGGTTTAATTGTTTATTAATTACAACAATACATACAATAAAACTACGAATAACAAAGACACATTATCAATAAAGTACACTTTAACTACAAACACAACTTAATATATAAAAATTTAATCATGTAAAATGTTAAGATGTCGGAATAATAACTTATTAGAGTATATGATGAACACGACATTAAACAGCTGAGTAATGTTTATAACCAAAATATCATGTAAATTTTAACAACAACACAAACAATGAAAATAATTAATTAGGTTGTATTGATTAATTTCTATGATGAAATTATTTTAATTACGTTAATTATTAAAAATGTGATTTAAAAAATGAAGTCGATTAACATATGTATAGTTTTACACATTTAAAGTTGTCTCTAAGTTGTATACCTTTTAATTAATTGAAAAAACAAAGTTAGTGCATTACAAAACCTTTGAATGTGTAAATAAAGATAAACATTTGTGTTAATTTTTTTATTGATATTTTTTTGATAAAATATTAAGAGATAAATAATTTAATTTCTGATTGGAGCTTATGTTTAATAATTGTGACATTTCGTTTGTTCAATGAAAAATCTTTAAGAATTTGTCATAGTATAATACTTTTTTTTTAATTTTAGTCATTGCGTCGTTATTCACAAATATAATACAGCAACTTATGTTAACAATTATAGACAAGTGTTATTTATTGTTTTATTTTTACTTAATTATCATAATATTTTTTTTCATCTCACAACACACAAAATGAAACCATTGTATTTCTTTAACACCACAACAATTATCAAAGTAAAATAAAAACAAATTTAATTATTACTTGTTGACGATTTTATAAAAAAGATTCATAAAAAATTACTGTTTACTTTCACACTTTTATGAAAAATATAATACAATTTAAATAAAACATTAAAACTTTTAAACATGTAACTTCATACTAACAACGAAAATGATTCCACCAAATTAAATAATATGTATCTGTTTGGGCATAATAGTATTTTGGATAAAAATATAAACACATATATATTAAATATATTAAATTTGTTGCCCAATAGTTTATAACAAAATTGTACAACAACTCAAAATGATTTAATTTGAATTGATAAATGTAAATTTTGTCAAATTTTTAATATTGTTGTTTTGGATAATATTTGTACCAAATAAATTTTTTCTTTACCATTTATTTTATTTTCTATTTTTCGAGTATTATAAATATAGTTAATTATGGTTTATTTTTTAAATAAATTTTACAAACTTTATATAGTTGTTGAACTATGGATATACTAAACATAGTTTTTTTTGATGAGTATAGTTTTTTTATAGTAAAACGACGAATATTTAATTTTAAATAGTTAAAGTGAGTTACTTTATGCCAAGGTGAGTTAATAGCCATAACTCGCCGACGTACCTAACCCCCAACTGACCAATACTGCTAAAAAAGACAGTAAGAAAAAAAATTATATTAAAAAGTCTAGTTCAATTATAGAAACATAAAAATAAAATAAACAGTTCAAATGACGATCTAAAAAACAAAAAATAAAATATTATTAAAAAAATATTTTTAATTCTAAAACATATATAGTAGCAAAAAACAGTTTTTTGTAAAAGAATAACATTTTTAAAAGAATAATGTTTTAAAAACAAAATCGTGTTATCCTTGTTATTATTATTATTTAAATTAAACGATGAAATACGAACTTGTCAATAATAAGTCTTTGCCAAAATATCACAAACCTGAAAATTTGCCAAATAATTACATACCTCAATATCATTTACTATTACTCTTAATTATTTTCAACCATTTGAAAACTATTTTACTATTAGAAAAATAACCATACATTATAATAATTATAATTATCAAAAATACTAAAGTAACTTAACACACAAAAAACAACACTTAACTTGGTAAAAAAAGAAGAAATATTTGTCAACACATCAAAAATTATCAATACAAAAAGTTTCATTCAACTGATTTTTGTTGATAAATACATTTAAACAAACATAATGTACAACTGATTATTTTAAACTGTCGTTTTATTTTTTATATTTCAATACTCAATTATTTACGACTATTTTCCAATAACACTACATCATAAACAAAAACGTTTAAAGTAGTCACTTTTTGATTATCAATTATCAATAATTTAATAACAATTTTAATTATAAAAGATATCACTGTTGACCACAACGATTTCATTTAAAAAACAGTACAATAAATAAAACTTAATATCTATTTAATGTGTAAACTTGTAACATTGAACGAATACTTTAAATGGTAATACTAAGATTAAAACACTATTACTATTTACAACAATTTTAAATACCGAATTTTGGCTCACAAATATGTGTACATATAATATAAAAAACATTTTTTTCGTTAATCTAAAAGTTTAACATTATTTTTTGTTAAAAAGGTTACATAAAATAGTTTAACCTTACGATGGTGTTTGTGTAATTTAAATCTCACTTATTTTCAATATTTGTTTTTTGGTAATTTATTTTTAATTTTTAATTATCAATATAAAATTAACCCCTAAAACTCATAATTGTAGATAATGAACTATTTTTGATTTATGACCATTTTATTTGCACAATCGATACAAACAAAAACGGAATGTAAAGGACACACCGGTTGACAGCAAAAATAGCAACCACTTTTAATTCTCGATTTACATTGGCCACTACAAAGTTTACATGTTCCCAATTTTTCAAGTTTTGTACATAGTGACCTTTTTCTTATTGCTTCAACTTTTGTTCGTTGCTCAATTGGTATAAGTTCCAACTTAGTGTTCACTAATGACGGAGTTTGACATAAAAGTACGGGCGCTTTAACTATACTCATTGTTTTATCAACATCAAAATTAATAATTTCATTTTCACTGAAAATGTGACTAAGTATGACAGATTGTTCGATTCTTTTGGTACTTTTAGCTCTTGTTTTGACGTGTGGCTGACACAACTTTATACTCAAATCAATCAAGAATTTTTCTCTTTTGATCGTTTTGTTTGTTAAACAATATGCATTTAAAGCGCATATATCCACAATGTTAAAAAACATTGCCAAAGGCCACCTTCTCGTACCTCTTTTACAAGAATACTGTTTTACCAT